TTCGGTGGCCAAAGAATATTTCCTATATCTCCCATACCAAAGGTGACATCAAGAAAGATGGCAAAATGGGCGGATCAGATAATCCATTTTCATGGAAAACGAAGGTTTTGGATTGATTGTCAAAATGCCAAACAATGGCAGCAAATTGATTTTTTGAAGAAGAAAATGGAAATGAAGATGGAAAGTGTGAAATATACGTGCATTTATAGGGGGTGAATGTGAAAAGACAGAATATGAACAGCCACATTCATAAATGGAATCAAGTGACCCAAAGTCTTGGGAAAAGAGGCAGAAATATCAAGAGAAAATGTGCAAAAATTTTTAGCATAAAGCAGTTAAATGCTTGAGCGATTGACGATTAAAAAACAAACGTCAATAAATACACAAGAAGCTAAAATAGTTATTCATTAACGATGATGGCTGCTGTTATGATCAAAATTAGCAATGGATATCAGTACAAAGTTACAAAGGGAAAGTCAATACGAAATTACAGAAAGAAAAAGTTAAGGCATTATATGTCTTAATTACAATTTGCCCCATACCAAACGAATTCTTTCCCTAAGTCTCCCCCAGTCCTCGCTCTGTCGAGAAGAAGTGATATTTAATTCAGCCACAACATCATCATCAACTTCCAGCTTCTTGTACTGCTCGACCAAAGACTTGATTCGTTTAATTCCTTGAGAGGCATTACGCTTTTTAGCAGTCATTCTCTCCTTGCAGTCGTCCATCTTGGCTTGAAGCTCCTTCATCTGTGCAGCCAAACTAGTCATCAAAGAGTCTTCAATCATGACTTCGAAAGATATTTCTTTCAATTCGTCCTCAGCTTTGTTGATCTCCAGAAGCAAGGACTCTCTTTCAGATACAGCGCGAAGATATTGAGTACTCTTAGCCTTCAGTTCAACATTTCTGGCTAGCAAGGAGAGAATCTCGGAACGGACAACTTTCAACGTCGCTTTAAAATCAGCAGAAAGGTTGAGCGACGGACGTGTTAGTGCTTGCTCCAACTTCGCACTCAAATGCTCAAACTTATCCTTATGCTTGGCAGCACTAGCCTTACCGATGTCCATATCCATGAAGGACACATACTCAAATATCGACTGCTTGAGGAACTTCATATCCTCCTCTGAAGAAGCAAAAGGACGACTGGTTGAAGCAGGACGAGACGTCTTGACTTGCCCACAGGAAGTGAACTAGTCCTGGATGGAACGCACAATCTTATCAGCATCCTGCAAAGAAAGTTGCCAACATTGAAAGTTTTCACTACAATGAACAAAGTTGAAGTAAAAGTGAAACAGATATTACCTCATCAGCAATCTTGAGAGGTGGCATATCCCCAGCCAAATCTACCACCTGTGGCTCCACTACTTGTGAAGACTTCCCCTTGTCCGAGCGAGAAGATTTTACCACAACAGGCAAACCCATGAGAGCATCTACAGAACTCAAAAAGCAACAAATCAAAAACCAATAGCACAAGCAAAGGTAAAGCATCAAAAAATGAATTACCTTCTGCTTCGACGTTTGGAGGGTCAACGCCCTGGGAAGAAGGTGGCTCATCCATTAGTTGTGATGAAGATTTTGGAACTGAAGATTTCTCTTTAAGCGTAGTCCCTTCATCAGCTAGTTTGGACGAAGCAGTCTCAGCAGAGGATGATGGAGAAGGAGCTGCCAACACCAAAGCCTTCAAAGGAGAGGCTGAACTTTTCTGAAAAATCCAAATAAACCATCAGCACATAGAAAAGTTTCAAGTATAGAAATGTATGCTTGTGAGTAAACCAATTTAATTACCTTCCTCCTGACAATAAGAGGGGTGTCATCATCATCATCAGCATCATCCTCCAAAATGAGAGATGCTGAGGGAAGAGAAGTCGATGGACGAGCAGACTGTTTAGCACGAGCAGGGGAAGAGGGACTCCTAATGGATACAGGAGTGACCAAAACAGGAGAGGTGGAAGAAATGTTTGGCTGGTCCAGTGAATGGAAAGCACGATTGGCATCAGTCGCAAACAATCTGCGCTTCACTGACAGCCAGAGTCATTCAAAAAGGGGATAGATGGCACGGCTAGGATTGAAGGGGGCTAATGAAAAGCTGCTCGTCAAAAAAACATTGCGAGCATCTATAGCTTCTGCCTCTGTCGTATTAATGGTGTGGAAGCGGTCTATCAAATTTCTTGAATAGTAAGGGGGAAAGAGCCAAGTTTGGCCAAAACCAAGTTGGCGAGCAAAAAATTGGGGAGCATATATTTCAACCCCAGCTTTGGCATTGGTCCCAGTCTAAATATCATGGAACAAATCCCTCCCGATCAAAAACTGAATCCAAACGAACAGAGAGGTGCTCGCACTATCCAGAGTGGATGGAGGTTGCACATAATCTGGAGTCAAAAAGGGAGGAAGGAAAGAAGGAAGGGATTGAATCCAAAGTATAAAAGAATGAAAAAATGTCCCTTCTGGACATATTTACAGGAGTCAGGGGATTAATGGCTAGCCCATAGCAGCTAGCAGAAGGACTGGAAAAGGATAGAGTACCAAGCGATGGAAAATAGGCTCTCAACCACATTTGAGTGAACTAAAGAGGCCCACTACCAGTAGGAGATGCACCATTCTTCAATTGGGATTGAAGAGAAGCCATGCCTCTATAGAGGGCAGCTAAAAAGAAAGAACACAAATTCAGAGGCCTACCATGCGCCAATTCGTGCGCTATGGGTAAATAGCTCATGGAGGGCTTCATGCTTGGCACACACAAAACGTATTTACAAAGCCAAATCTGAAGAAAGGCCATACGTTCAGCATGGGAAGGCTCAGCGCTCCAGTGGTTATGACAGGTTTGCAGGCTTGAATAAGACTCGGTGAGTTTTCTATCAAATTTTGGGGCGACACCAGAAATTTAAATACCAGGGAAAATGGTATCGCCCAAAGGTGGCAGATCTACTAGGGCCCCAACATCCCTTAAGGTAATGGACATGGGACCAAAAGGAAAAATAAAAGCATGATACTCAGAAGACCAAAAACTTAAAGCGATTGGAAAAAGTGCTGGGTCAAAAATAGGGGGTTGAAGAGAGATTTCTAACAAATCAGAGATCCTAGCACTATCAAAAATTGCCTTGGTAGGACCATGGTCCACAAGACGAGCATGCCATCTACGGAAAACGACATCGGATTTAGGCTAAGTGCGAATACCTCTTTCGTGAAGTGGCCTCAGCAGCAAAGGGTTTAGAAACGGAGGGCCAAGGGAACAGCTGACCGACCGCCGCTTGTTCGATGGCCTCGACGTTGTTGAATGAAGGACCTAGATAGAACTCATTGAGTTCGACATTGGCTGGTGCAAGGAAGTTCGGAGTTATATATGGCCGAGTGAGGAGTTTCTGGAAGTCTTCGAAATTGAAGGAGTCACCAGATTGAGATTATGAAGCAGCCATTAGGAACGAAATAGAGTTTGTCGAAGTTTGCTTAAGAAACGTAGCAGAGAAGCAAGAAGATGAACAATAATATTGCGAGAGAGAAGCGCGAAACAATGAGGCGTGATTTAGTGGTGCAATGAAACGGCGTGTATTTGAGAGTTATAAGGGTTTGCAAACGTCGCACCTTTTCAGGCTATGGAAGAAAACAATGATTGAAATTCTTGGGAATTTCGAATGTTGCTGGGAAACACAAAGTGAATATGGCAAAAATTAATAATTGGTATTAATTCTGCCATATTGGGGGGTAATTGTTGACACACAAAAAGTTCAGCCCAAATCGAATAGCCCAAAGAATGAAGCCCAATTGGAGGATCCCCAAATCAGATAGTCCAAAGAACGGCCTAATCAGGCAATTCAGGATAAAGGCCCAAATATGGAAACCCATGAACGCGGTAATACCATCGTCCAAGCTTGCAAGGCACCCAAGATTTGGGCGAATGGATTGCCATGCAGTCGCCCAGAGCTGTGACCCTGTTCTCGCCCAAACTTTCGAGTCGCCCAGGATCTTAACAAACATAAGATGTTATGGTTACCCAAAAGTGCGGTTAATGAAGTAGTTATTGAGTAGCCCTATCACATTCCACGATTCAAGGAATTCAATTGAAGACGGTTGAATGACAAAAAGTAATGGCAGCAGTTAGAGAAGGCAGTTCTATGACAAGTTGGCCACTATGAAGAAAGTGGGCAGTTATAGAGCGATCAAGCAGTTTTTAAGCAGTTGATCACGAAGAGATCATCCAGGGAATATAAAAGGAAGAAAAGACATAGAGTAAAGGACCCCGAATCAAATACTCTCAAACAGAGAATATTTAACTTTCAATTTCTTAGTTTAGATTTAAACACTTCTTTTCAGTAACTCGTGTGCTTGCGCCCCTTGGAGGCATTCTGTTTTATTTTCCAATTGTAAAATCATCGCCAATAAAAACACCCATTTTTGAGACTTTGTCTTAAGAGATTTGTCCCTTATACAATCGTCTGATCCTTTTTTAATTGTTAGCGACTAACCCGCGCGAAACAGTATTTTTTGAAACATGTGTGATTAAAAAGGAAAGAAATTTTTTTTATTTATATGTAGGCCCGGTTTGGTATACATTAATGTAAAAATGAGAATGAAAAATATAGCCGTTATGGATCCCACATAAGAAATAGAAAGTCAAATATGATGACTTGATGTATGGATATCGATCATATTTTTTATTTTAATAGACAAATAATAGGAAGCAAACGGGGACGTAATATTATTTTACAATTTTGCTAACCCACTTCATAGGCCATTTACAGAATTTCAAAATGAAAATATGTGCGGCTTTGCTATGGGTACAACATGGTGTCCAAAATGGACACCCGACACCTCAGTATTGGCCGAGGTGCCTACCACGCCGAGGTCCACCGGCACCTCGGCCAATAACAAGGTGCCGGGTGTCCATTTTGGACACCACAATGGACGCCATGTTGTACCACCAGCATTATTCAAATATGTGACTGTTGAAAAACAATTAGTCTATGGATACAGAAAATACCTAAGAATGCGTACAGAAATTTGAAACTGCTGAATTGGCCGGCTTGCATTTAATTTACCCAAAAAGTGAACCCAACAAATCGGGCCAACTCCAAAACTGGTTTGAACCCAGAAACTTAACCTGCCTTCTCCCCCAAATTGATATTATTCATGATTCCCCTAGAACCCCAAATCACACCCTCCGCTTTCTTTCATCCCGAACCTGAAGATCAAATCTGGCAGCCTGTGATTGTCCCCGCTGGCAAACTAACTGCCGTGCACCGTCAGTCTTAGCTTGAAGACGAAAGCCCACCGAAACCCAACATCGAAATCCTAATTGAAGACGAAAGTCGAAACGTAGATGATGGACAAAGGTATTTTGCTTCTTGGTTCTAAATAGGTTAGCTCATACATTGAAGTGGTAGTCTAAACATAGATTACGTATGATACAAGTAGCTCTCGGAAAGAAAAAATGATATATAGGAACCAGATTCCAAAGATAAAGCTTACAGGATTTATAACATCAATTATTTCACATGCCTCTGATTCAACGAACTTCCCACCTATATAATTAATAACCTTCAGCTACAATTGAACTCAGATCACCAGCAAAGAAAAGAAAGTCAGAAGTTAGTGCTTGCTTCAACTCAATTTAAAAACCACGTGTATCCTAGATTTATTTAGCCAAACATGTTGCAAATTTTTTTTCTTTGACCCCCGTCCCCTCAAACCCTCGCATTGTAGTTTGACCGCAAAATCGATTTAACCCCCTTCTGCCCTTTTTTATTTGCTTCCCATCTCCAGCAGCAAAAATTTGCAGAATCCCAGAATTTTCAAAAAATCCAGCTTTCGCTGTACACACATGTATACACAATTGCATACATAAATTGTATATGTAGAGCTGTAGAAAGAGTGAATCCTATATAGAGAGATGGAGCACAAGGGGCACAACGAACCAGAGGACGGTGTGTACGGCGGTGAAGTACCTGATGAAGCATACATGGATGCCAATTTTGATGCGGAAGCAGAGGCCAAAGCTGATGAAAACATGAAAGCTAAGGTATTTTCTACTCTTTCTCTATATATACACACGTATGTACATTTGTACGTTTATATGCATGTAAATTACAATTTGACTGGTGTTTGAATCATAGGAATTGGAGAGTATGAAGAAGAGGTTGCAGGAGATTGAGGAAGAAGCAGGGGCACTTCGAGGAATGCAGACCAAAGTGGAGAAAGAGATGGGTGCTACTCAAGGTATTACATTTATGAAATTGATGTGATAAATGTATAAGTTAATTTTTGGCTTTTGTGCAGTGTAATTGTATGCATTAATTTTGTGATCTATAGTTTTTGTGGGCTTTTGTTCCCACAAAGACGTGTTTTTTTGCTGTTCAGAGAAGACAAACATATAACGGTTCACAAGTTGAGGCTACTGGATAATTAGGATTTTATTATTTCCACTGAACATGGGCTTGCCTATTGATATTTAAACCATGAAGGATGTCATTGTAGGAAATACAGTTGTTGGTTTATGACTAAGTGTTCCGTTGTGTTTGTTGACTTCAGCTTGAGTGTTCAATCTTTAGAATTTTCTATTATGACAAATGGGTCTGGATGCCAAGATTAAAATTTTTTGTTATAGACATTTAATGTGGTTACACTTGCCTACTTTCACTCGTAAGCAGCCTTGTTATGTCGTCTGAACTTGACCATCACACGCTTTTTTCGCCTCATTATTTATTGACTAGAGTCGATGCAATTCGAACTCGCTCAGTGAAGCTCTTCAAAATCAAATTCTATTCCACAGTCTGTACATGATCTTTGATTGAAATAAATTTAGTGTTATCATGTCTTCTACTTAAGACTACTTCTTACACGTTAACGTCATCATTCTTAGAGCGTCTGACAAATGTTTTGCACTACATTGATTGCACTCAAAATGTAAGATAACACGTATTTGACTCTCACTTGACTCTTGTGTGGCATGCAACTGAAAAATAATGCAATTGAATGTGAGGGATTCACTATGTTCCATTTATATAGTAAATGAGGTCTGTATCCTTTAATGAGAAGGATAAGTTCAATAATAATATGTATGCTATACATTCGATGTGTATTTCCATTTTTTTTTTTTTTTTAAGTTTCATTTTGAAATGTTATTTAAATAATTGACAACGTACATCATGTTGAGTGATAAACAAGATCGTGAAATGTGGAGCCCACCAATGATGTGTTCAGTGTGCACGTAACAGTGTCTGAAAATGTATACAACACCCAAGATGGGCATATTACCTTGTATCTGTGTGATAGTGGAGGGAATAAGAAAATTTCAGAATCAATATATTTGATTGAAACTGCACCAAAGGGAGGTAGACTTTTTTATTTCATAATTCTCCATAGAAGGGAAATTTCAGTAGTAACTCGTTGATAACATTTTTTTACCATAACAACAAAAACTGAGATTTCAAATTCTATTGGCTATTGAGCACTTGAGTTTTGTGTCTCTCTGGAAGTGATTGTTTGAGTGCAAGGTTGCAGAGGAGTTTCAAAATTAGTTGATTTATCTTTGTTTTCTGTGTTCATGATGGTTTGTCATTGGATTTGGATATTGATTAGATTATACAATTGTAGCTTCAAGAACTCTACATTTTTCTATCAGTCATCCCTTGGAGCCAATCTGGAATAAAATAAAAAATCAGCTAAGCTTTCAGTTGGTTGATTTATCATACAATTCTATTTCGCCGAAGAAAAATTCTTGTAATGAGAGAATCTGCTTGGCATGAAACACAAATGCATTCATACCCGATTTGTACGCTCATTGCGCATATAGAGAAAAAGGAACAAGAAACCATAGGTTTTGAATCCAAATCTCCTACTCCTTGGGCAGCCTGTTGATTTGCTTTCACATATGCTTTGGCAATTTTGCCTTAAAAGACTTAAGGATTTTGACATCTTGTTGCCCCTGATGCTCCATCCTTGCTCATTCAGCAAACCACCATGGATTTTCTTTCCCTCGTCATCTGTCCTCCCTCCCCACCCCTTCTTCCTATCCCTCTCTACCCTTCCCAATACCCATCAGTAGTTGTACATGTATGTGTATATGAGTATGCTAAATGTAACAGTTGAAATTGTGAACATGAGCCATTTGATGGGTTGGTTTCTCATTATTGGCATTTGATGAGATCACTAATATTAAAAGGATTTCAATGGGAGGTTTACGTATAGGATAGAGGTTAGGGGCAGACATAGGCGGAAAAAGGTTTTATACTTTCCATTGCATGCTTTTGGTGTGCATTTGGGATGGACTGGGTTTATGAGTAGTAAGTTGTCTTATCTGGTGGAGTTACAGTAACATTGAAATCTTAGTTGGATTGTTTATTATGCTGCATTTTGAATTCGAATTGTTGGTGATTATGGACAATAACTCAATGTTATATTTCACGATCAGACAGAAGCAATCTTGTCCCCTTCTCATATTTGCTAAATACTACACTTCATCTGAGCTTTCATACATAAACTCACAACTGGATTGTATTTTGGTTAACCTTCTGTGAAAGTAGATAAATAAACATAATGAAGCTGGTGAAAAAGCTAACACACTTTGTCCATATAAATTTATCAATCCAATCATTTACCTTTTCAAAAAGGTAATACGGTTTATCCATATAGATTTATTAATACGACCGCATACCTTTTCTATTGGTGAATGCATTTCTACCACTGCTCGGATTCTTTTGACTTGTTCTGTGTCGGTTGCTTATCCTATTTTCAATTTATGACTACTGTCCAGCATTTTCTTAATTTATCTATTGGTTTCTTTTATAATTAATTCTAGGTGATGGTACAGTACACATTTACCATTTACTTCCCTTCCAAATATCTCTTCGTTTTATAAGGCAAACTTTTCCATGAAGAAATAGTCGAGTCCAAGTCTTTATGAAGGCTCAATAACATTCATTTTCATGGTGTCCTTCAACATCCAGAAATATGTTGATTTTCATTTTGATTTTTCATTCTTTAACTTTATTTTGATAAGTTTTCTCTGGTTATGCATCTTTCTTTTTGCCTTGCTTGTTGTCCACCTTCTTTCCCATGTATGGTGATGAATGCATCTCCCTTCCCACTCTACTGAGAAATAGTTATCCTCGAGACGACACATTCATGAGTAAAAATATTTGCTCAGAAGCTTATTCTTTTAGTTTATTTGTGTCCATCGTATAAGGGATCTCTCATTTATGCCCGGTGACGATTATAAGATGAACTTGAGATAAGCCATTTTCGGCCTTGGAAGGGCAATTTTAAGGAAGGTGAGTTTATTCTTAATAGGCGACGTCAAAATGCCTCATCCATTAGGTTCAATTGACTAGTTTCCAGAAAGTGGCTTTGAGTTTCCTTTCTTTCGCTAATATTGGCCAATAATTGCGAGGAACTTATTGAATCTTGAAAATTCTCTCATTATTGGAGGTGACACATCAAAGCTATATTTATCATTGTGGAGTAAGTATTTTATGCTAATTATACAATTGGATTGAGAACAACTATACGTTGTTATGCCATTCATTGAGTGAAGAACTAAGATCTACCATAGGAAGAAATGGTTATATGAGGAATAAAGTTAAGTACCTTGATTTCATTGTATGGTGGTTATTTGTATATATAAATAGATGCAAAATATTGATATCCAATGAACCTCACAATGTGTAAGCCTTTAATTGTATGTTTCTTCAAATGTATGTATATTTGTTTTGTTCTCTTTCTTGACGTAGTTTAGCCTTTTTATAATTTTATAATTGGTGAAATTATATTGGAACTCCTAGGATGAAAAATTTATCTTGTTACATATTTTCTCATAATCAGCTATTAGGTTATTATAGTAAACACATTGTGGCTAGGAATTGTATTGCACATTATGGGGCTCAAACTCAGTTTTCTTCTTTCTAATTTTTAATTTTTCGTATTCATTGACAAGATGTAGAACAAACTGTTCCAAAATCATGTTTGCTAAGTTTATCAATTCTTTCATATGGTTCAAGCATATCCTGACTTCATTTGATTAAAGCTATAAATTTTGTAGAACAAACTGTTCCAAAATCATGTTTGCTAAGTTTATCAATTTTTTCAAATGGGTCCAGCATATCCTGACTTCATGAGATTAAAGCTATAAATTTTGTGAAATTAATTATTACTTTATTTATTAAATGTGACTTGTAAAGTAGAAGCTGAGTTGTCTGCTGTAATGGTATATAAATACCTTCCTTTAATGTTATCCAGATCTTAAATGCTTGCAGATGAGTCAAATATGTGATGTACTTCAAAAAAAATTAGAAATAAAATAAATAACTACAAAATAAACGACAAATTACACAACATTTGTGTTATGTTTGTAGAATATGAGCAAGAGAGCCTACTTTCCTTTTTTCTTAATTTGATAGTGTGGCTTTTTTATTCACAATTGGTTTTTTCCATTGAACTGGTGACTCACAACTAACTGTAACATTCCTTTATAGCATGTTAGAAGATTTAACTGATGCCTCTGCGACTCAAGCAGAAAAGGAGGTGGATTCCCGTCTAATATATGTTGGTAATGCGAGTTTCACAATGCCCTTCTTAATTTCTGTTAATATTATTCCCTTTTATAGCATGCAAACATTGTGCTGTGCAATTTAGAGTGCTTTAGTTTCGAGAATAAGCATGCTTGTTATCAACTCTTTGTTAACTAGACAGTCTCAATGTTTTAAGATCAAGCACAATAAATAGTTCTCTAATTCTATTGATTTGGAAATGGGATACCTCTTATCGAGTTGTTTACTGTGGCTTCCTTTATCTATGAATTGATCTTTTCTCAGCTTGTCTTCATTCAGAGATATACCAGAACTTTCTAAAATCCTACTATGGAAACAATTATATTCTAGTGATGAACTACAAATTGCTAGTAGTCAACTTTAAATATATATTTTTAACAAACATAAGCTTATTTTTAATGACGTGAAAGCTACCTCTAAAAATATAATGCCATGCTCCTTATACTAATCATAACAGATAAAATCATCCAGCCTATCAGTGAGTTCAAATTCAAAAGAATCAACATCCTGGTATCCATATCGTACAGTGCACCTATATGAGCGATGAGCTACTGGCCCACATGTCCCACGAGGTACCTCTCGGCTGGAGGGACAAATGGTACTGGTACAGATTTTATACATACAAAAACGAGACGGTGGAAAGCAGAGAGATTGGTGACAAAACGAGAAAAGTTGGTAGGAATACTGGAGGTCAAATGAGTGAACACAATGCCAATGCCAGGGACCTGAGCGGTACCTAGGCTGGGACAGAGACATAAAAATCAATGTCATGAATTGTGTGGTGATATTTTGATAAGTAAGCTGCTTGACCCATATATGCCAATCAACCAATATGAGTACTGGATAAACCAAAAAGGTGAAAGCCATCTGCAACAAAAGAAAAAGACTAAACAATCACCTTCAAAGTAACACCTCGAACTACAAGGAAAAGCAAAATAATAACGAACTTCTAAACCGAGTAGAACACCTGATAAAGTTAGTCCTAGCAAAGAGGTGAAAAAAATTTCTGTGCTGCAGTATTGCTAAAAGTCACAAAAGAGATGAAATGGTTTGCAAATGTATACCTGAATTGCAGCATACGAGAAGTGTCTAAGATCAGCAAACATTGCTTCTGAGCCTGAGGGTAAAGTGATAGAGAATATTGTCATTCTAGTGTGGTGGACTAATATTCGCCTATCATTAATACAAGATCTTTTCAAATTATAACACAAAGATTACGTTGACCACTATTCGACCATATCAAAAGCATATCCAGCACCTGTTTGATGGTCATTATTTAAAAACTCTTTTTTTCAACACGCTTATTTCAACTACACATTCATATAATAAAATAGTTTGCATGTAAACCTAAGACTTTTCCCTATTTTTTAATCCTAAAAATCACTATTCAAAACATTGTTTTTTCCTAATAATGGTCGGGGCTTAATAACAGGTTCGATGAGCATTAAGTTATAAATTTGCCTCTTCTTGTCAAGATTTTTCCTTTTCATTTATGCCTAGCAGTGTGCTGGATTTGTTAAGACTTAAAACTCAGGAAGGTCAATAATGTGCTACATGTTGTCTTTCACTTTCTTGGATGTATAATTAAAAATGCATGCATGACATTTTTTAAGGGGTTCACCTGTAATGCACAAAAGAATTCCACCCAGTGTTATCCATCCTCCTTTTCTTGTCTTCTTCAAGAACTTTAGCATTTAATATGGGGGAACCTCTTGATAAACAAGTGGATTCCAGAGTATAATATTGTACAAACCAAGAGCACTGATGCATTGTACTATTTTCGGGCTAATGGGCTTTGCTTTAATGGTATTTTAATTATTTTTTTTAATTTCTCTGGTTAAACGATTTTCTCATTTTTTTAATTCCTTTTAAATTGAATTTTAAATTAATTTGTATGCCCTGCAGTTAATGCTCAAGAATATTGCAATTTGATTTAAAACGTTTATAATATATTTAAGCGTATATAGAGATTTTTTTGTGTAACCTACTGCGGATGGATTGCATAATTTTTCCCTTTATCCAAGAGAAAAAAATTCTCCCAAATACCAAATGCATAATTCGTAGCTAGTTCTGATTTTGTAGAAAATTGAAATTTAGACCTATGTTGAAATTGTTATTGTTGTGGATTATTGAAATTTTGGTTTAGGGAAAAATTGAAAGGTGACCAAGAACACAGGATTTCAATTGGGGACAATAGGGGCTTTGACTCTGTCAATCGTTTCGTCGGTTTCTATTGTGATATGCAGTAAAACACTCAAGAGCACTCTACTTTCATTTTCGGTGAATTTTAGTACTCTACATTTGGTGTTTTTTTTCCTTGTTTTATAAATGATATTTTTGTACTATTATGAATTGAATGTTCTTGTAATTTCTCTGTATATATTGCCTCGATCAGATACATTTAATGTTGAAATTTCATGTGTCATTACATTACTTACATCCCTTGGCGCAAATTCTTTCTAAAGTGATGGAATTGATATAATTTACTCTAGTTGAGGACCTTTAATAATATTGTTATTTTAGAAGAGGAGATTCTTGTCAATTTTTGAATTGGATTGCTATTGAACTTGAAGTGAGGCAGCTACACAAGTCCTAACTGATTGCCTTTGTTACTAAAAGTATTCCTTCAACTGAGAATGCTTGGTTGGACACGTCAAACATGCTATAAATAGTAAGAATATAACTTTCGTTTGATCCAGCTTTTAATTTCCAATAGAGTAGTTTATATTTTTCTCTTAACATCATAATTTGATGTAATTAGATCTAGAAAGGAAGAAGTCTAGCTTCTAATTCCGGATAGAGAAGTTTATATTTTTCTTAACCTCGTAATTTGATGTTGTAATTAGATTTAGAAGGGAAAAAGTCTCTAATTGTGATGTTGATTTGTTTTATTGAAGTTTTCTTTTGGGAAACAGTGAAATGTTATTAAAAAACGATAAAGATTAAGAAGAAGATGATATTTATTTAGTATTTTTGTTATATGAGCTGGCATTTACTGGTAACTTTGTTCGCTTTATGTGGCATTATGGTTGAAATTCTTCAAGCACAAACCAATAGGATACAAACTGTCATTGGATTTGGTGCTCTAAATGGGATTTCGATTGGATTATAGAAACTCAGCTTGGGATTCGATTCTGTTGGTTTCTATCAGGTATCTCTTCATTATCTACTTACAATGTTCAACATTGAACTGTTTCTCACTGATGTTTCTGAATTGAGGATTTATTATTTTACTTTACTAGATGACAAAGCTGGCAATCAACCCATGTACAGTACTGTTGGAAACTCTTTTCCTAAGCAAGAATTTCAGGTGAGTCACCACACATTTGAGCCCTTTCTGGGCGAAGTAGTTGGTATCTGTGACTAGCTGCTTCCTAGATATTGTATCACTTTTGTAGCTTATGCTGGCTCCTTGATCATTATTGTGACACATACTATGGAAGTTTTTCTCTGCCCACTTGTTAGATTTGATACATGTAGTTTGGAACCTTTTCTCTCCTACTCATATTTTTTAGAAAGCTTCATCAAATGGATCTTCATTTCCAAGTCCGTTGACCATTTGATCTGCATAGTCCTTAAAGATGTATGACAGCATCCAGCCCCTAAATGAACTAGTAGGTTGCTGAAGAAGGATGATCGCTGGACTTACCAATGAATAAATAATGACTTTGGCAGAACATAACATGAGGCTCTTAGACTTTTGATCTGCATGTGTTGAAGTCACATTTATAGAAGGGATGCTAGTAAGGAATTACGAGTGATAAAGAGGACTGTAGTTGCTCTCAAGATAAGAAGCTTCTACGATTTTAGGATACTTAGGAGGGCTCAAATTTTTGGTGTCAACTGAAAAGCTTAATAAGCTGAAGCTACTGGCGTAATTTCACAAGCACTGCCATGATGTGACAACATATGAAATCCCTTTGGCAACCCACTGTAAAAAATGGATAACAATTCTTAATCGTTCCTTATTTCTAAAAGAACAGCAAAAGGACCTGTTTCACTCTTTGTTAGACTAAAAAAAAGCTAAAGCTGCTGAGATTTTTACTAGATCTCCAAAATTTTCATGCACGATGCCCAGCTGGGAATCCATGCCTAAATTCAGACATTAGGATATTTATCAATCTAATGGGATCAACCTTTTCTAGAGCATCTCAAAAAATTAGAGCAAACCTATTATTATCCTTGTCAAAGGATTCCCCCTTTTTTACTTTTCTGTAAACATCTCTAAGTTTTTATCCTTTCATTAGCATCTCATAATCATTTGAGACATTCCCCTAATGAATGGGAGAAACAACTTAAAACCTATTAGGGTCTAATAGTTGTGGGATTCAATTACCCTCAAGTCTAGGCTTTTGGGAGAGGTGGCTGGGTTCCCATCAATTGGTATTAGGGCAGGCACCATGTTTTTTTATCTCGGTTAGCACTTAGAGTGTATGGGCACCTGCTCGACGTGAACGCCGAGTTAGAAACGTGGTGGTTTGTCATGGTTCCATTGAGGTGTATGGGCACCTGAATCCCACATCGAAAGTATGGGCTTCCTTCGTGTGGTTTATATAGGTTTGGGTTCTCCAACCTCAATGGCTAGTTTTTGGGGTCTGTCTCTTTCAAGCTTTTCCAATTCAGTTAAAAGGGAGAGACCGACCTCTCTAATAGCCCTGGAATTCGTTATTTCCATTTAGTTGAATATTCAGTTTCCATTGATTCTTATCTTCAATATTTGCAATTGCTTATCCGTATACAGTCCTTATGGCCATTTTCATGTATTCATCTACTAATCTCTCTTCAATCATCATGTCACAGACTTGGATTATCACACAGGAGGCAACCCAATAAGTTTCAGCAGTAGCTTCAGGTTCCTAACATTTTGGTATCAGAGCAAACCAACGTCATAGGTTCGAATCCCGAAAAGGGTGACCCAAGTGAAGTGTCGAATGCCAGCAGTCAAAGAAGGGTCGGTCGGGTAAAACGAAGTCGTCTTGGAGTGGGTCATTGTGGACGTCAGATTTGGGGCCGTTGGCTATTGTTAGGGTTTAATAGTTGTGAGATTCGATCATCCTCAAGCCTGCATTTTTGGGAGAGATGGTTGGGTCCCCATCAAAGCCACTTAAGACCAAGCGAGAGCCGGTTATAACTCTAAACTGAGTAGATAACATTCTCAATATGGTCTCACATATCTTGACATCCTTTTTTGTTTGCATTTTCTACTTTAAAGAAATCACATAGTCGCAAGATTTCATGTTCTTTATTTCTCATCATTTTGTAATTTTGTACAAGCTAATTACTGAAGAGGGAATGATGTGGCCTGTTGTTTTTGTTGTTGCATAAGTTAATGCATTATGAGTAAGAATTTATGAAAAGTCTAATTTAGGAAATATGTTTTATCTTGCATTAAAATCACTGGTTTTGATTGTTGAACTTAACATCTCTTTCAGATGATCAATACCGTCCAAAAAAAATTCAATGTATTTTCCACCCGACTGCTGCATCAATCTTGCCTTTATCAAGCATTGACCTTGGTCATCTCTGGTCCATTTTTTGATAGGCTTTTGACTAACCAAAATGTCTTTTCTTTCAATTATATGCCAAAACTTGTGGTAAGTAGTTAAATTTATAAGATCAGTCATCTTCTTTCGTGAATAGAATGTATGTGAAGACTTGATATCATTATCAATATTGCAGTTTTTCATTGTTCTGTCCTGCCTGATCTCCGTCTCTATTAGTCTTACCACATTCCTTGTGATTGGGAAGACGCCCCCCCTGTCACCTATCAGGTTCTTGGACACGATGAGAATGACATTGGGACATTAAATGATGTTGAGGTCCCAAAGGGAATTGCATGGAAATCAAACAAGGATTTTCATGCTTGATATGGAAGCATGGGGGCATTATTTACTTGACAATTCGGTGTGTTGAATAGATTTTCAAGTGATAAAAATGAAACCTTTCCCAAGTCTCAAAAAAATTATGTGAGTTTAGGAGCACTTTGTCATATTTCTCTTCTAGCTTAAAAGTCTTAGTATACAACGCTAACTTTCTCTAGTGAGGATTTTCACTTAACTAACATTGTTCCTGAATTCTGTTGAGAATAAGAATACTTCAAGCTTATATATATTTATTGCCTTGTAATTTAGGTCGTTAGTTTTATTAGAAGAAAACCCTAAATTTTGGTGTATTTGTCAAATTGGAAGTGGATTTTTTTTAAAATTTTTTTTATCGACTCTTTTTGCTTTTCGATTCTTATCATATTTTTGGGGTTGTCTTTGCTTTGACTCTTTGATTGAGAAACTTAAGAAATCCAAAGAGGCTATAAGATCTGCAAAGTAGATCATGACTCTTTGCTCCTGCTGTAGTTATAAGTAGTTAATTTTGGTGGACGTAGACAGAGCTACTCAAGGGAATATGGGCCATGTCCATGTTTATATTGCTGAAAAATCAATTATTAGGCCTTGAGGTTCACCTCAAGCCTTTGGGTCCTTGACACGTATACCATAGGTCTTGTCAAATACCAGTTGTCATGGATCTGGGGATGACGGCTAACAGATTAGGAGATTGGGCTTCAATGTCAGTCTGACAACCTTCCATTCTAGAATTAGTTCATTCGCCCTCTTAGACACAGAGTCCAATGTGTAAATGAGAGTACAAAGCATAATGCACCCGTGCATGAAACTTGTGATGCTGAAAGCCTAATATATGAAAGGCAATTGATGTCATAGCAAGAATTTTTTTTTGGCTCTTGTTTAAACATTGAATTGAAACATTTCTTACTGGAATGGTATTGCAAAAATCCCTGTGAAACTACCACATTATTGACTTCATGACTTATCATTATTGACAATCCTGAGCTCATGGAAGAACTACTTGTTTTTATGAGAATGCACGTTGCAGCCACGTTGGCATTGGGGTGCTTGGTAGACTGAACCAGCAACAATATTTGAAGACAATTAGGCGTACAGACAATTGCACTTGGGGCTGGCAAGGGCCACGAATGGTTGCCAGCCGGCAAAGAATGTGATTACTTATGGCCCTGTACCGAGGTTTTAGTGAGGTTTTTGATAGGAAAAGGCAAACTAAGCCCCCGAGATTAACATTGGAAATGTTCACCTTTAAATGTAAAAGTAACTGTGGGCGACCTAATTTTGAGCATAATTTCTCATCTTTCATGACTTAACTTCTATGAAGCAATGGCCAAGGGCGATGCCACTTCAATAGTGAAGTTACAGAGCGCCCTCAAGGTTAGTAATATTATTGGATTGATGGACTAATGTTCTTAATTTGGAAATGCTACTGGCAAAATTGAAAAAATACACTCATTTACACACTTAAGTCGAAATTTCTTTTCTTCATTAATTAACTGGGTTACGTTATCAGTTTGAAGTTGTGACCTTATATTTGCCAGCTTTTATCCTCAATATATAATAGGAAAAAAATATTCAGAACCTCTCTCGCTACTCTCTCTATCTTCTTCCTCTAATTTTCAATCCGTGATTATTCTTTGCTTTTAAGAATCAGATCTCTGCATTGGAAAATTGTTGGAAAATTGAAAACTGATCATTTAAGTTTTGTGTTCAAATTAAGCTCTAAACATTTATTTGTTTCAAACTCTTCATGTGATTCATAATGCGCAGTAATGATAAAGGAAAAAGTGATTATTTGGAGAGACGTCGGTAGAGAAAACATGCGAAGTGAAGTTAAAGAATCTATATGTAAGCACCAAATCTGTAAGTATTATGTTCTAGGTCCAATCAACTTTGGACATAAATATTTTTGATATATAATTAATGCAATTTAATGGTAGACCTATTATTTAATTAATAGACAATTAAATAAATAATATAGCCCGTAGATTCAAAATTTCGTAAATTGTTAGTCACAGGGAGTTGTGATTGTGATATACAAATTACATCTGATTGAATCTTAAATCGTCCGTGGTCGTAAGTAATAACGAGATACGGATAT